AGCAAAGCCATTAACAACTGAAAACAACGTCAGCATCACATAAAGCATTATATTGTTTTCAGAAAGCAGTAAACGTATGCAAATAAGGTAGAAAAAGGTAAGACCCCCAATTTCGAACTGCTTGACCTGAAGCACGAGACCCTGTGTTCACTAACAGTCATGTCGCTGCTATGTTATACGAGAACAGAAAATGGTGGGCCGTGACCGCCGTGAAGCCCGAAAACATGGGGGGAGGAAGGGGGGGAGTTACTTTCCTTTTATAAATCTTCTTCTTTGTGCTCGTTTGCTTGATCTCAAGGGTTGTCGACTGCTGCTGCTCCTTCAGCCTGCAGTGCTGCTGATTTTAACGTAAGTGACCGTAGTTTTCTCTACGTCAGTCGTAGAGTCCCTTGCCTTCAGGCAGCCACTGATTTTGAAGGCACTCTGACGAACGAACGTGTTTTCAGTTCTGAGTGGTATTCATTTTGAATTTAGCCCGGGTGGCGGCCGAGCTGTACTCTTATCGATTTTAGAACCACCAAGGGACCTTATAAAGAGGAGTTCCCAGATTTTTCGCCTTTATCCGAGAAGGCTGGGATCAGGGGTGTGGCCTAGAAACAACAGTAAGAAGGGACCAGGAGTAGCAGTAGAAAGAGGTAGGAGTAATGGACAGAGGAGCGTAGAGAAGGTCGGGGGGGGGGGGGGGGAGAGAAAATGGAGATGAAAGCAAACGACAGAACATAACCAGAGAACTTGGAAGGAAGACAAAAGTTAAATTTTAGAGAAGAATGAAAAAAAAATTAACGTTGACACATAACACGACTCACTCGTTTAAAAAGTGTGACTGTTGAGCTCCTCCACCGGAAGTGATAGATGTAGAAGACGAGGAGATTTCCCACAATCCCCAGCGCCATCATGGTGGGGATAAAGAGCAGCTCTCCCCCATGCCAGGTAAATGTATCCCCTTGAGGCCAGGACGTCTTGTTGTCTACCTTTGCCTCTGCGACTGCGTGCGTCGTGCTCTCAGTCGGGATTAGGACCAGATCGAGGCGACTGGATGACATCTTAGAGTGCTGTTGGAAGGGAGAAGAAAACAGCAGTTCTAGAAATCTACATTAAATCAGGTTTGAACATTGTACATGTTCAGGATATCGGAGAAGAAGACAGAGCTTTTCGTCATTCTCTTCTACATTGCAACCGTTCACGTTTGTTAGTTTGGTAAAAAGAAGCGCATCGACACAAAAATGGTCTTATAGTGCTGAGAAAAAAGCACTAACCACCAGCACAACCGCTCACGATGCATATTATGTCGCACTATGATTGTAAATGTATTACACCCACATTGACACAATTAAGAAAATTAGGAGGCGGGCTACTTGGTCACTGTCTGTGAGGGCCAAGAGGAGTACAGCGGGATACAACATTCCTGAAGAGAGGCGGAGAAACTCCATAAAATAACTTCCCCGTGAGAGAATCGAACTTACGACATACTAATATTTCGTACACATCAGATTCCAAGACTTTGCTTCAAAAACGTTTCATAGAATTCTATTTGTCTTTCGATCAGTTGTTGTAATTTTTTTTAAGGAACTGTTGTTTGGCAGGCGTTTAAAACCTTGTACTTTTTTTGGGGGGGTCCTCTTCCTTTTCCCTCTCGCGCTTAAAAAAGTGATTTTATCTCTCCCTGATTTGCTGTTACTGTTTTTGTTGTTGCTGTTCTTCTTAGTATTATTATTGTTATTCTTGTTTTTATTCTTTTTGTTGTTCTTGTTCTTGTTCCACTTGATCTTATTATTGTCGTCATCGTCAATGGTGCTGCTGTAGTTGTTGCTTTTACCTTTCTGTTTAGCCTTACTTATATAGAAAGCCGAGCATTTCGTATGCAGAAATTGATCTATATTCCGTTTTGTAGAGCGTTCAACCTCGACAAAAGCTGAAGGAACAAACACTACGACTTGCTGTAGTCTATTTGTCTTTTTTCCTCCCAAAAAGACTGTAACAATTACTTTCCTCTCAACGCTCTACAGTTCTAGTTCGTCAAATGACGTACTGACGCACATGTAAATATTTTCAACTGCAGATCCAAGCTGTATAGCCTTAACTGTCCAAAAAAGTTTCTGAACAGAAGATTTCACGGTACGAAGCGCTTACCTCGTTCTGTCTTTCCTATTATCCTAAGACGGTCGTAGGATTCAAACGTAGTCCGGCACGGATAACCCGATAACGCGAACACAGACAACTTGAAATCACGGATAGCTTATACAATTTGCCATTTTCTTACTAATATTTCTCTGATTTTTCATTATCGGTTAACCCATAATTATGAATGTGTCGGACACATTAATTTGTCCATCCCCGATTTGTTTGACGTATCCGCGCCTGACTGTGGTCCACTCTCCCTCCATCAGCAGCCACCCATACGTCATAACCTTTGTTTAAAAACAAAACTATGAAAAGCTTCTTTCCAGCTCTCTTTTGTGCTATTCAGAGGCTGAGCGTACATTCAGCTAAACGGTAGAGC